CTCCTTCCTTCCTTCCTTCCTTCCTTCGTTTCTTTCTTTCTCTCCATTCCTTCCTTCCTTTGTTTTTCTTTTGTTTGTTGTTTTTTGTTTTTGAGAGAGTGTTTCCCTACATACCTCTGACTGTTCTAGACTCACTGTATAGACCAGATTGTCCTCAAACTCACATAGATCCACCTGCTTCTGCTTCCATGTGCTGGGACTGAAGGCAGGTACCACACACCTGGCATACATGTTCTTAACTAATGATTAATATAGGAAGTTCCAGCTCATGCTGGATAATGCCATCCTGGACTGATGGTCCTGCATGCTATAAAAAGGCAGGCCAAGCAATCGAGAGGAGTGTTACTGGATTTTTTTTTCTGTGTTGTGATCTGATTTCCAATGGATGAGAGCATTAATTAGTTCAAGAGGCGGGTCACATTAATCTGGCCAAAAGGGATCATGGCATTCCCTGGTGGACTCCAAGGAGGGAAAGAGAGGCCCTGAGAAGAGGAAGAAGCAAGGAGGAGAGATTGTGAGGTCCTTTTGAGACAGGAAGTGGACAGTCATGGTGTGTCAAGATAGCTTGTGGCTCTCCTTAATATTTATCCTCAAAATATTTATAATAAACATTAAAAGAAATCCCAATAACTGGAGTGCACATAGGGCATTGTCAAGCCAGTGGAAAACTTAGTCTCACTTACCGTGTCCCTCCCAAACTGTTTTCCTGTGTTCGGCAGGTTTCTGTTGCAGTTCTACTGCAGCCTTCCACTGCTGCCTAATCGTGGCCCCAAAACACAACTGGAGTTACCTGCCACACAGGGCACACTTTCCACCAAACTGCCCCACCAGGCACAGACTCCAGACCTCTCATAGTTCATCAATGTGTCTACCCCTTCCTTCCCATGCCAGTTTTGTGTGGCACAAACAAATGCCATGCCAGAAACTAATCCAGCTGCCTGGTCACCCTTGAAGAGCATCCCTCCAGTCCTTTCTGCACACTGCAGCTGGCAATAACAAGCCAGAGGACAAAGCAGCTCCAACTATGGATGGAAAATAGTGCCAGCTATTGCAAGATACAGAGCTAAGAAAATCAATTCCCTGGCCACCCAGTACCAACCATCTAATCTCCACCTCTACTACTGAGCCCCAAGGGAGCATTGTCAACTCACCCCATGGCCAGTGAGTCTAAGTTTTTGATTCGAAGGATATTCCAAAGACAGTGAGGTACCAGGGACTCCAGGCATCTGAGCTAAAGAGTAGCAGAAACAGAGCACTTTTCGTTTTTATTATTAAAGCAAAACATTTACAGTTGCCTTAAGCAAACACAAGGACATTGAGGGAACACACCTGGTGTTGTGTCTTATCTTTGGTCTCCTGAAAAGAGCCAAAAATATCCCTTGCCAGGCCTTTTTTCTTTCCCACAGCAATACTGGGGGCATGCGAGGAGAATCTCTTCATGTTCTACCTTTCATTGCATTCAGTTAACATAGCTTATGTAATTCTCAAAGAATGCTGATGGAAAACACCTCCTGTACTCTGCCCCACCCATGGTTCACAAAAAGCTCACAGCCTTCTTGCACAGGCTCCCACACAGCATTGTTGTGGGTTTAGAAATAAGTGCAGAAGCTGAGTGACACAACAACACTGTGGGGCTGTGACCATGGCTCCATGGCAGAGAACTTATCTAGCATGGATGAGGCTGTGGGCTCTATTTTCAATGCTTAAAACATCATCATAACCCCTAAAAAGAAAACAAAATAAAGCAAAAGAACACAGTGGAATCAAAGGAAAGACAATATCAGGATGGGCTCATGATTTGTTGCCAGGGACATGGGATAAGACAGTCTCAGGATGGCCAGAAACGACTAAAGAAAGAGAAATTTTAATCAGAATGCTCTGGATAGTGAAAGACAGAAACAGGTTTTTGAAGACTCTCAAGGCAACTGCTCGCTCTTACAAATGGATATTTCTGTGCTCTGATTTTGGTTTTCTTTCATAAACACAAAATAAAGGCTGGTTTCTTATAAATGAGATAACGTGGAAGAATGAAGAAATCACAAACCATCTTTGAAGTACCACCAGATAATGGGACTGAAATTTTATAAAAGTGTGGGAATCTCAGACATGAGACAGAACTTTCCTGGTCTTTGAGGACTTCTCCTCACTATGCATCTTCTAATGTGGCTCCCACATCCCTGAGAGGTTTCAGAGACTCTAAGTACCCAGATCGGTAGCACACAAAGGAGCAGTGACAAGCCAGATCTCAACTGTGTGCAAGATGGACCCATACCTGATCAATTCATAGAACACTGGGTAAAGGGAACAGGACATCCATTAACTATAAAATATCTCTTTAAAGGAGAGAAGCTGATGACTTTAAAGCACAGAGCCGTCTATTCCATTCCACAAGGAGATGACTCACACACACTGCTCCTAAACAATTAACTGTGTGCAAGTAACACACGGGCCTGGACACAATGAAGAGATACACCTCTGAATTGTAACACCATATGGTTTCTGACAAATCTGCTTCAGGAACAAAATTGATGGACTCTGGTTGTCTTCTGCATCTACATGCTATGTCCATTGATGAAGTTCTTCCTGCCTAACAAACTTTTAGTTTTATATAATGATATCCAGTTCATTATATTCTGCTCCTGTGTTTTCTTGTATGAAGACTGCCAATAGCTGAGATTACAAACAAACAAGCAAGTAGATACAGAGAACAAACACATTGGGCAAGGTCTCAGTAGGAAAGGCTTCTTTGAGAATCCAAAGCCATCTAACATCCAGGGCTCACCGGTTTGGAAATGTGATGCTGAACATTATGTTTAGAGGATAAATTTACTGTGGTAAGCACGTAAAAACAAAATCCTTTCTATCTTGTATAACCCATGAGGAAGTAGCTCCTATCTTGCCTATGTACCCTGTCAGCTGGCCCAAGACAGACCACTTCCTGGTTCAGTTAAACTACTCTTAAGAAAAAAAAAGCTAACTGTTGAGCATTACACAGCCTAAGGTATTCCTACAAAGTAATGGGTCACAGATTAAACAGGCTACAGGCTCATGAGACACAAGTTTCCTTGGATGGTTGAAACATCTGCAGGATATCTGTTACAAGATTAAGCATTGCTCACACCTAGAGAGGGATGCAAGTTAATGTGGCTCCCCAAAATCATAATTGTGGTTTTTTCCACTTATAATCCATTGGCTCACTGTTACCAGGGCCTTACTTAGAGAACTCTCTCTGGTTTGGTCCTGGCCTGTGTCTTTTAATTAAAAGCCTCAAATTTATTAAAAACCAAAACTGAAGTCAGACTGGTAAATCTATAAACGACCCAAAACACACAACAGCAGGATAACATGCCCATGACTATTTGCCATCACATGAGTTAGCAGTCCCCAGTGGGAAAGCCAGAGGGTCAGACCCAGGGTCTACCATGAACTGTGCTCTCATGGTATTGTGCCAGGTTCCTGGAGCCCCAGAGACCAACCCAAGGAGCCAAAATCTCCAATGCAAAAGCAAAGGTTTCTTTTTATTGTTCAAGCTGGCCAACTTAGATCTCACTCCATGGTGGGGAAATGAGATGCCTACCAGCCATAAAGAGGAGCTTTTAAAGGGGGAAGACCATAAGGTTAAAGCCCACAAATTTCAGAGTTTCCATGGTTACTTAAGGTCATACAAAGTACAGAGTAAAGCAGTAACTATATATTTTAAGCATGATACATTTGAGTAAGATAAGACAGGGCACAGGATTGCAGGGTTACAGGGTCTGTCAGTTATTCCCTGGGACAACCTTAGGACGGGCAATTAGCAGACATAGGAATTTGACCCAAATATTGGGGGGTAACCTCCCCTTCTTTGAGAGCAGGGCTCAGGTGACAGCCATGACATTCCCAGTCATTAAAAGTTCCCTTTTCCAGCCTACAATCCACACCGCCAGAGAAGCTAGGAAACAAGGAGGACCCTAAGAGAGACATATATGGTCCCCTGGAGAAGGGGAAAGGGACAAGACCTCCTGAGCTAATTCAGAGCATAGGGGAGGGGAGAAGGAGCTAGAAGAAAGAGAGGAGGAGAATGGGAGGGGAGAGGAGGACATGAGAGGGCAGGAAGATTTAGTCAGGGGAAGAATTGAGGAGATCAAGAAAAGAGCTACCACAATAGAGGGAGCCATCATAGGTTTAAAGAAAATTCTGATACTGGGGAAATGTCCAGAGATCTACAAGTTTGACTTCAACTAACAATCTAAGCAGTGGTTCAGAGTCTACCTTAAATGCCCTTCTCTGATAATGAGATTGATGACCTTATACACCATCCTAGAGCCTTCATCCAGTAGCTGATGGAAGCAGAAGCAGACAACCACAGCTAAACTCTGGAATCCAGTTGTAGAGAGGGAGGAATGTTGAGCAAAGGGGTCAGAATCAGATTGGAGAAACCCTCAGAAACAGGTGACCTGAACAAGGGGTTACTTATGGACCCCAGACTGATAACAGGGAAACCAGCATAGGACTGTTCCAGACCCACTGAGAGAGGATATCAGTTTGGAGGTCTGGACAATCTATGAGGCCTCTGGTAGTGAATCAGTATTTATCCCTAATATATGAGTGGACTTTGGAAACCCTCTCCACATGGAGGGATACTCTCTCAGCCTAGACATACAGGGGAGGGTCTAGGCCCTGCTTCAAATTCTGATAGACTTTGAACATCCCCCATAGAAGGCCTCACCCTCCTTGGGGAGCAGAAAGGGTTTGGGATGGGGGTGGGACGACAGAGGGGAGGAGAGGGAAAGGGAACCGGGATTGACATGTAAAAGAAGCTTGTTTCTAATTTTAAAAAAATTCCCTTTTCAGGGCCTAAGATTTTAAACTTTTATTAATTTTAATCTTTGGTTTTTCAATGGTCAGACCACAGATTCAATAAGGCCAACCTCAAACAGTTTCACCCATCTGCAAATTCTCTAAAGCACCTCCCCATTGTTTCATGCAAACCAGCCATTTCTAGGAATAGAAACTGAAACCAACTCTGACTGCAAGGGGGTTTGTATAAATTGAACTCATATCCAGTCAGAAAAGTATAGACAGCAAGAGTTTTGTGTGGACAAGGAATGATAAAGTAGCCAAGAGAAGATCAGGTTTTCCATCCCAAGTGCTCCTCCTTTCTTTATGCAGTTCTTCTGAGGACACCAGCACTCCACACCTCACCTCTTTTCTTCCTATACATCCTGAGTCTGAACTCCATTTTTAGATCATTCCACAGGAACTGCCCCTGCTGGAGTGCAAAGACCTTTCCTAAGAGGACAGCTTTACCAGAGGTGCCATTGCAAACAGATCAAGCTCGCCACTGCTGAGGTAAGTGAATAGTTTCTAAGTTCAGCTTGGCCAATACCCTACATGGGTGATAATATGGAGAATGGAGCATTGACACTGGGGCAGGAGAGATTGGGGAGTTTTACTCAGGGAGCATTCATGGTAGCATCCCTCTGTGGACATCTCTGTGACACAGAGCATCCCAAAGCAGAGAAGCAACAGCCCTTCCCTCTACATGAGTGTTGTGGGCTGTGCTAGTCTTCCGAGGCAGTGAAGCTTGGAGACACACAGCAGGCTGGGTTACCCAGATGCTCTTGGAGTTTATGCTATAAACTCCTCATTTGCCCCATGGAGATAAAATCCCAGATCAGAAACAACCACAGTGTCTGGCAGAGCAGGTTGAGCACTGTGGCTTTCAAAGATTCTTCTGATCTCAGTCAGTTGTTTTACTGATAGCCCACCTTTATAGTTCTTTGTCGTGGCCCGGCTTGTCTCAGCTTTAACCCACGACAGCCATGAGGTTCTACCTGAGTGGGGGTGTGTGGACCTGGAAGCTTCTTGGAACGCAAGACGATAAAGACCAAACACAGGCATCTTGTCATCTTCAGAGAGCTCTCAGTTCCATGCTTTGGAACTAGAGCTATTTGTTTATTAGCCATCTTTTCTGGTGTCCCTTAACATCCTGCTAACACTATGAGGCAGCCATTTCTCTCTTTGTCCTCTCTCTTTCCTCTCCTAACCTTCTGTCCTAACTCCCATACCACCCTCACCTCCGCCCAGGTGAGGGCCTATTCAGATGCTTAGGCACATACAGATGCAAATAAGAGGCATATTACCCTCAGGCCAGGTAAACAGTTACAGCCTGGTGTTAATTAACAATACAATGACGACTCGGAGTTTATGTGGCCAGGGCCTGGAACCCAGAATATTCCATAACAGGCATATTCAGTCCCCCACAGTTCTTGATGCTTCTCTCTTGCAGTTTGGGGAACACTTGGCTCTGTATATTTGCAGGGTTTTAACTATGATATGACTCCAGGGGTTTCTTTTTCTGCCCTTGTATATCGGCTGTTCTTCAAGCCTCTTTTATCTACCTGGATGTGCTTTTCTATCCCTAAATTTGTGGACATTTTTGCTACAATTGGTTGAGAATGTTTTCTATGCTGTTGCAATGGAGTTCTTCTTCTAAGCCATGTATTTCATGGTGTTACACAGGTCACATGTGCAATGTTCATAGGTTTTTTAATTTTTATGTTCATCCTGGAAAAGTCTTCCAAGACCTCTACATTGTCTTCAACCCTGATATTCTGTCCTCCATATGATCCTCTCATTTGGTATCTTTCCATTTAGAATTTTTAGTGTCTAACCTCATTTAAGTCAAGACTTTCCTCAGTATTTCTCTTTATTGAATTTCATTTTTGTACCTTGTGTTGATGCCTGCCTTTTACCTAACTGATTGTTTGAGTTCTCATTTTTTAGCACATTTATAACATCCATTTCAATACTTTGTCTGGAACTTTATCTAAGTCATTCCCATGAAGGCCATTACTCTGGGATTTGTAATGTTTAGAGGAGACAAACTGTCTTGGTTTTTCATATAACCAAATTTTTGTGTTCAAATTTGCTTATATTGCTGGTTGGATTTTTTTGTATATCTTCACTGTCTTACTTATTTTATAATAAGAAGCAATTGGTGGACTTTGAAGGCTCTGCTGCATGGGGTGTTCAACAGGGGTCAGGTGAACTTGGATGTCTAAGGCTCAAAAGTGTGAATGCTGACCTCCTTGGGTGAATAGATGGGTAAACAGCTGGCAACTCTGACAGGCCAGAGTTTGGATGGGCAAAATGCCTAGCAGTCCCTGGAGGTTGGGGTCTGCCTTCTCTGAGGCACAGGGAATCACCTCATGGAGTGGATAGTGGGGAGACAGAAAGGTTGACCAGCTGCCAGCACCTAATAAAGTAGACAGATAGTCATGCTGTTCCAGCCAGTGTTTTGGAGACAATATCCTACAATGTAGCACTGGCTGGCTTAGGCACATCAGTGTAATGTTCTTTGGCAGACACTGTGAATTACATTCTGTGGAGTATGGTCTTTGCATGGCTGCCCTTGCATCTAACATATACTGTCTTCCTTGCTCCCTTTCTTCTTTCCATCCTTCCTTCCTCCCTACCTTTCTCTCTCCCCCCTCTCCCTTTCTTCTTCTGAATTATGAATTTTAATTTAAATGCTTACCATGAACAGAATTTCCTTTTGATTATTAAAATATATAAGTGCATCATTCCCTGCTTCTCTTCTTGCAGTCCCTTCCATACCTCCTATTCCCTTTAAATTTATGGCCTCTAATAATTGATTACTGTGACATATCTTCAAACAAATAAATATATCAAAGCAACTTGCTGCATTTAGTATATCTTGTACATATAGATATACAGATAGATGATAGGTGATAGATAGATAGATAGATAGATAGATAGATAGATAGATAGATAGACAGACTCATCTCTGGGAAGGACTGCTTCTCCCTATCTGCAGTTTTTGATGACTTGTACACTTCATCTAAGTGTGACAACTCATGCAATTTCCCACATCCACTTTGGCATGTCAACTGATGGTATACTTGCTCAGATCTTGTTTAAATGGATATAATGTTGAGGTTTCTTAGATTTATCATCAGGTCACATGCAGAAGACTCAATCTTGCAGACTTAGTGATATCAAGACTTTGTGGTCTTCTGACTCTTGTACTCTTTCTGCACACTCTTTGCAGTGTTTCCTGTGTTTTGCATGTCAGGTTTGTGTTATAATGTGTCAACTGTACACCTCAAAGTCTGTTGTTCTCTGCTCTTTGACTAGCTGTGGCTTTGTAAAGTGACCTCTGCTGTGAAAAGCAGCATCTTTGATGGTGAGTGAGAGCTCCACCTCCCTGTGGGTATAAAGATGAGTATTTAGAAAGCAGGTGGAATACACTGGGAGAGGAAAGTGGCCATAGTGGGTTCTCCTCTGAGATCTACGAACTCACTATCAACAGGTGGTTGGTTAGGTTTTCAGTTACCAGGCATGGTTTTCTTCTTGTTCAGCTAGCCTGAAGTCCAATTAGATGGCTGTGGGTTACCACCAACACATAAATGTCACGCTTGTACCTCTGAAGTTATCTCAATGTGGGGATCATCATTGTGGCTCATAGGGGTCACAGCTGGGTAGGATCGTTGAATGCTTTCCTCCCTTGGCAATCTGCACAGCATCTTCTGGTATTATGAAAGCTAGTCCTCAGAGAGGAGACGATGGTTCAAATGCAGCTCTGAGTCCTGTACCTGAAGCGTGTGCTGTCTTCAGATAAAACACCTTCAACTTCTGGGGCTCAAGCAACGGTAAGAGCAGTAGCCTGTGCTGTTTCAGGAGTATCTTAGAATTCCCTGACCAGCAACTCAAGAGAAGTTTCCCATTCCTGACAATGAAGTTTCTGTTATTCTGTGACTCACAAGGGAGACATTATCAATCACGTGGCATAAAGTCATTTAAAGTGTATACATAAGAACTGAACCAGGCACCCTGAACATGGGTGTCATCTAGGAAGTCTATAGGGCCTCTGGCAGTGGAACCAGTATTTATCCATAGTGCACAAAAGGACTTAGGGAGCCCATTCGCCATAGAAGGATACTCTCTTAGCCTAGATACATGGGGAGGGCCTAGTCCCTGCCCCAAATGACTTGACAGACTTTGATAATCCCTCATGGAAGGCAACACCATCCCTGGGGAGTAGATGGGGAATGGGATGGGGGGGTCAGTGGAGGGCATGGAAGGATGGGAGGAAGAGGGAACTGGAATTGATATTCTAAATAAGATTGTTTCTAATTTTAAAAAATTTATAAAAAAAATAAAGTGTATTCATATACTATATATATATAACATTTAGGTAAATATGAAATAATTATATTCCCAATATAGTCTTTTTCTATAGTTTCAACTCTTTGTCTAGGTTAATACTGGTGCTTTCTGGGTATCTAAGCCATTGTGATTTTGAAAAATGTTTTGACCTTAAAAATCAAGTCAGCATTATGCAGGATGCTTGTCAGAGTTCTCCAGGATGTCCCTCTCAGTGCCTGGAGTGGAAGCTCTGATTCTTATCTTGTCTAGATGTCCAACATAATCACCCTAGAGAACACAACACTGGACCATAAACAACTGAGCATCTAAAGTCCAGGAAGCAGGGTCACTCACTTAGGAGTTTGCCTTCCATGGAGACCATGTCCTACCACTGCTCAGAGAAGAAAGGGAAATTACAATTACTTGGACAACTCTTTTCACTTCAGCCTTTTCCATCCCTTGTCAGGTGTCATTTCCTCATTATAGAATAACTGTTCAATGAGACCAGAGGCCTTGAGAACCTACAGGCAACTCAGTAATGGGTTCACATAAGGTTGAGGACCCTATCAGGAGAAGTCTTGCTTTTTTGTGTGACTTTTAGGTTGACACCACATGTGGGTGTCATTTTAATGAAAATAAAGGAATTTAAAGGAGGCTTCAGAAGGATAATAAAGCCTACAGTGGGTAACTTCACCCAGTAAGTGGAGTCTGAATTAGGCCAAGAGGTGCAAGGAAATTGCTAGGAGGAAGTGAAGTGTGAGCAAGAGGTCTCCTTATATCCAGGTCAGCAGTGGAAGCAGCAACCAAGAGAAGACAAGAAAGGCAATGCTGGGTCTGATGTGGGACAGGGTTGGGGGGAGGCTGCTTTACTGACCAGCAAACTCCAAAGCTGTGCCCTGCTTTAATTAATGATTACAATTTCTCCCCTCTCTGCTCCGTTCAGCTTCTACCATACAGAGACATGGCTTGGGCCTCCAGCATTGATGCATTCTTTAAGAATTTTAAGAGGGAAAGCCAAATCCTCTCTGAGGAAACCATCACCTTGATTAAATGCCACATTCAGAAAAATGACCTCCAGGGTGCACTTTCTGTAATCCACAGTGCACTGAGAGACATCGAGAGCGCCCCCCTGAACATTGCTGTGACAGGAGAGACAGGGACAGGGAAGTCCACCTTCATCAATGCTCTGATGGGGATAGGGCAGGAAGATGAAGGTGCAGCCCCTACTGGAGTGACAGAGACAACCAAGGAGAGAATGCCATACCCACACCCAAAGCTTCCTCAGGTGACAATATGGGACCTGCCTGGCACTGGGTCCACTTCCTTCCCACCAGAAAGCTACCTAAAGACAATGAAGTTTTCTGAGTATGACTTCTTTGTTATCATCTCAGCTTCACGCTTCAAAGAAAATGATGCACAACTAGCGAAAGCCATCGCAATGATGAAGATGAATTTCTACTTTGTTCGTACCAAGATAGATAATGACTTAGCTAATGAACAGAGGAGTAAACCAAAGACTTTCAGCAAGGAGAATGTCCTTAAGACAATTCGAGATGACTGTTCAAAGCATCTCAAGAAATACTTCTCCGGTAAGCCTCAAATCTTCTTGGTCTCTAACTTTGATGTGTCTGACTATGACTTCCCAAAGCTGCAGACCACCCTATTGGGTGAGCTCCCAGCCCACAAGCGCCATGTCTTCATGCTGTCTTTAAACAGTGTTACTGAGGCCACCATTAACCTCAAGAGAGATTCCCTGAAGCAGAAAGTCTTCCTTGAGGCCCTGAAGGCTGGAGCATTGGCCACCATTCCATTGGTTGGCATGATCAGGGATGAATTACAGGATCTGAATGAAACATTCAACCTCTACAGGTCTTACTTTGGGCTGGATGATGCCTCATTGGAAAACATTGCTAAAGATTTTAACATGTCCATGGATGAACTCAAGGTACACCTTCGTTTTCCAAATCTGTTTGCAGAAGACAGCAATGTATCCTTAGGGAAAAAACTACTGAACTATATTGAACTCATTTCCTCAATTACTGGTGGACCATTTGCTGTTAGGTTTTACTACAGAAAAACTTACTATTTGCAGAATCTCTTTCTTGAAACTGCAGCAAATGATGCCATAGCTCTTCTTAATAGGGAAGCTCTTTTTGAAGAGAAGATGGGACCATACATATCTAAGGCCCCCGATTACTGGGAATGATGGGAAATGAGGCACAAGCTCCAATCAGTGTTTACTTCTGTTCTTGCTTTGGACACTGAGTCATAACCTACTCCAGAGTTACAAACCTTGTCTGTGGAACCAGAGAGTTTATCCTTTTCCTCGTCCTGAGCAGATCACTGTGGCAAGGGATCAAGTATACTATAGTAGGAAGAGAAGCTTCAACACTGTACAAATGTATGAGGAAAACTCATTTCCATTAAAATAATATGTAACACATCCATGATAATATGGATTTGATTTGTTATTTTGCGGTCAAATGAATCCTGGATCTTTTACCCATGTGAGAGTCCTCATACACTTCTGCATTTTCACCATTAGCCAGGTCTGCTTGTCACATTGCTTTGAGGGCATCTGGTGCCCAACACTGTTGCAGGGGATGAGTCCAAGTAGGTAGACTTTTGGGGAATGTGGCAAGAGATCCAGGAGCCAGGAGAAAAGTAAAAGACGACATCTTTATTGAGGGTATGGGCAGGCCTTTTATACCCCATCTGGGGACCCAGGAGGGATGCCAAGATGGAATACTTTATTGTCTCTCTCTCATTGACCTAGGACATCATGATGTCAATGGTCTCCAGGCCTCAAGGCAGACTTTAGTCTGGCTCAAGAGGAGGTTGACTGGCCTGGAGCCAGCTGTTAACGGCCTCCTACACAACTCTGTGTAGACAAACACACCTCCAAAGAGGTTTGAGCCCCACACAGGAGGCACACAACAGGCAGGGACTGTGACCATTAGCCAAGTTCCATCCAGGAGGAGCTTGGGAAAAACAGAAGTATAACATATCTGTAGATGCTCTTGGTCCACACAAATAAAAGTATGTATTTCATATTCTTCCCTAGCCAATCTGAGTGAATTGGAAATTCACACTATGTGATTGGCAACCAAAATTATATAATATAAACTGTCTGTCCTTGTAGTTTCACTCATTAGAAAAAAATAAAAAATCTTCTTGAAGATTTTTCTCTAATCTCCTAAGGGTACTATTGGTACTTGCTGTCATTTGAACTGGGCCAGAATGTGGAGCTGTTGACAACTGGTTTGTTCCACTACCCTGTTGACCATGTCTATTATGGATTTTCTGATAGTATAACAGAACGTACGATGGGCATGAGAACCCTATGAGAGGTTATCTTGATTATTTTATTCTTATATTTCATTATAAAGGAAGAACCATCTTTTTCTTTAAACATAATTCTTTATTGATTCTTTGGGAATTTCGCATGATGCACCCCAATGCATATCACCTCCCAGTCCCTCCATATCTGCTCCTCACTTCTGAAGCATCCCCCATATAAAAGAAACCTCCAAATTAATTAAAAACAAGCAAACAAAAACCACTTCCCTCACCCTCTTTCCCATCTCTCTAATACCTCTTCATTTGACCTGGTGGCATTCGGGAGATGTGTTGTGTCTCACAATATACTCTTTTGTCCAATCACCTCTACCTGAAAATGTTCATTGTAACGAGTCATTGGTCCAGTTCAAAGCCTCTGGCACACCATCATCACTGCACCCTCACAGAAACTCCTCTTGGTTATCCTGCTGTTCCCTGAGTCATTAAGAACCTGTAGCTATTGTTCTACAGGACCAGTCCCTTCACATGCTCCAGCTGGTCATAGATGGGGTAGATGGAAGGGAGGGCCAACCCAAGGCCCAGGATCTGGGTCTGAATGG